TATATGATTATTATAACTGCGTGCTATAAGGCAGTTTTAGAGGAGCTGCGTAGATAACAGATGTGCCGACCCGTACCCGACCCGAAGGTTGGGTACGGGTACAAAGTTGCGGGGACGGATCAGGTACGGGTAGAGCAGTTATGGGTACGGGTTCCGTTTTTCTTAATTTACCTGAAAATCCACAAAATTTTAGAGAAAAAATACAAGATTTTAGCTAAAATACATGAAGTTTTAAAAAAGAGTTGCTTGAAAACGTAATGTTAATTTGACATCTGCAGCCGAAAAACGAAAAGGAGAAAATTTTTAGGTTAAGTGGGATACGGGTCGGGTACGAATACAAAGTTCTCGGGTCGAGTCGGATACAGGTGAAAAAAAATTTTCGGGTCGGATACGAATAAGAAAACGGTATCCGTGCACCTCTCTAGTATAGATGGGCATAGTTTTTCGAAAAATACGTTTCACACATCTCTGCCTACGGTGAAGAAACAAAATAGCCCAGGAGACCTTCTTCTCGCTTCATTCGAATGAGAGATCGTCGATAGCAGGGAAAATCCACAGGCCAGACCGGATCAACTTTTTTAAAGTTTGTTTATGGACCGGACCGGACTGCAATTTGATGGTTCGAATGTGAGCACAGCCTTTTTCCCAAAAAGTCGATCAAATTACAAAACAGCATCGAAAGGCAACACTTACATTAAATGTGGGAAAGACACTATCTTCTCTTGAAAATGTCACTGACGAAGTTGGCTGTCCTTTGAGCATCCGTTCTACACATCCGAATGCATTTAGCCGCCCGTACGGGCCGCTTCGAAAAATTTATGCGTTCTCTCCGGGCTGAAATTCTTGAGCCCAGATACGGACGAAGCCGCAAAAAAACGGTTCGAGATGACCTCTGATTTGAATAAGCTTAAAAACCACTTTCACTTGATTATACTTACATAAAATTATATCTGATCAAGGTATGAGTTAATTATAAGTTTACAAAATGAGTATTTTTCTCAGAAAATGTCCAAGTCTACCCTTCCAAAAATCTAAATAGCAAGGTACTGCTCTAAAAACATGTCGATATACAACAAATGGAGCTCTACAAGCTGGCGTAGATTCCAAGTCTTCATCTGCCGTAGTTCGCTAAACCTTAAGTCTGGGAACCTCAAAAGCACTTGGTACATAGGTTTTTGGGCACGTTGAATTTCGTGGCAATGTTTGTTTTGTTGTCCGGATTAAAGAAACTTCAAAAGTCGATTTTTCCGCTGTGACCGTACTAAAATAAAATCCTTGTAGCAACTTCATTTCTCATCCAAATTGCTTCAGATTTTCAAAAACCCACTTAGCTTCACCTGCTAAATGGTATAGGAAGGTTAAATTATTTCTCATACTGAGATTTCAGAGATTTTCAGAGGTTTTCTGAAAAACATATCGAAGATCCTCTTTGTTTTTTTAGTTCTGATCGTGTGATCGGACAGAACATCCTCTCTTATGCTCACTCTTCAAATTTCATGCAATTTGGTTGGGAAATAAAGATGCTATAAGGGTTTTATTTTAGTACGGACACAGCGGAAAAATCGATTTTTATGAAAAATTCGCCTTTTGAAGTTTCTTTAATCCGGACAACAAAAAATAATTTAAAAAAACATCGGACTGCACTATATTTTGAAACAGATAGTAGGTGGAACTGTATGTTATCACCATGAAATACAATGCACAATAATAATGATAGAATCATATTGTTACATGACAGCCCATGACATTAACAATTATTAGAGTTTTGAAACCTGTCACATCTGCATTCGATTTCTCAGTAGTATTAAACCTTTCCTTCATAACTATCACTATTTATTTTGAAAAAGAAATTGCTTACAAAAACGTTTCATAATAAATATCAGAAGTAATTTCCATAAAGTAGCAAGAATATCTTTCAAAACTTCATTTCAGTTCAGTTCAGTTTATTCTGGCATAGCCATAGATACATCAAAAAGCATTGCTAGTGCAGAAGTTTGTAACAAAAAAAAAACTCCGTTAGATTAAGAATGATCTAGGCAGATAACTTTGTTGACATGCCCATAGAGAAAACTTAGTTAACATTAAAATTTGAATAGGTGCAGTTTTGTGTAATGCAAAACTTTGTTGAATTACAGCCACACATCTTTGTCTAGCTTTAGTTGCAAGTGATTTCTTTTTTGTCATATTTCAAATTTTTCACGCTTATTTGTGTTATTGGAAACTTCTTCAAATTCCCGCCTTTTTTTATGAGCAAACGCAGAACTTTGCACGTGCACACCGAGATGATTTTTCCTGAGTTGCGAGAAACACGGTTGCTTAATAGCAAACTGTCACAGTGGGTTCCTCGACTTATCAGAGAAAGCCAAGTTATTCTAGTCTTTCACGGCGACTTTCTCTGTGTACCTCCGACTTAGTGAGATAGTCTTAGACATACAAAACACCTTTCGATCCTTCTAGTTAATGACTGGATTAACCACAAAGTCTCAAAGGAGGACATTTACTAATTCGGCCTCACAGCTCGCTGCTCCTGTTTAAAATTTTACAGTAGCCGTTCTAGTTTACGAGAAAATCGTTACAGAAAATGACAGTTTTGTAGTCTAGAAGGTAAAAACACAGTTGATTACTAGAATGCAGTCGATTCTAGTTGTCCACTACCAAATTCTTTGGCAACAACATATCGCATCAAAAAATTATATTAGAATGAATTATTATCACGGGTGCAGCAGGATAAATGACCCTCGCAGTATTTTTCAAATAAGTCTTTTTATTTTTGATCGTGTAGGCTTGAAGTTGTTTTGAAAAATGTGACCGTTTCATTCTCTACAAGAATCATATTGAACATCTTTTATACATCGTAAAAATAAAAGAATATAGACGAAATACTGCGCAGGTTCAATCTCTGTTACTTTCTAACACAAAATATAACGAAAAAATATTTATCTTGAGTATGGCGCCATCCATAAAAATGGAATCAAAACGTATGTTCTGATGCTCCGAAGTGTTGTCTTTCTTTTCGTGTATAGGAGGGAGTTTGCTTTGAACGTGTTTTTCTGGCGTAAAAAGCGATTTTACTCAAATTTACCAAAAAAAGGAAAATTTCGACCTTTTCACCTTGATACTGGAAAAGAAATGGATCTAGTGAACTTTCTCTGCTCGGATGTAACAAAAGAGCTATTTTGTTTTAAGATACGACAAGCCCGACCTCGAAATGTTCGATTTTTACCGATTTATATAAATTTTCCTGAGTGTCCCAAACTTCCAGTTTGAAAACGATGATTTTTGACAAAAACGATAAAAGAAAAAAAATTCTCTTCGAACCGCTTGTAATTATGGAAAGTTTTAAATACCTACCCAGTTGATAAGCTTTTCAAGGACTACAAAATGATCATTGTCACTTACTCTATATCGCAAAATATATACGACTAAAATTGAAAAAGCATGTTTGGTGTTACAAAGTAATAGAGATTGAAACTGCGCAGTATTTCGTCTATATTCTTTTATTTTTACGATGTATAAAAAATGTTCAATATGATTTTTGCAGAGAATGAAACAGTCACATTTTTCAAAACAACTTCAAGCCTACACGATCAAAAATAAAAAGAGTTATTTGAAAAATATTGAAAAGATCAATCATTTATCCTGCCGCATCCGTTCTGTCCATTCAAAATCGATTCTTTCATGAGAAGCATTGAGTATTAAAAATTTTATCATTATTCATTTAAATACGCTTGTAATATACTTTGTGCTTGATTATTGAGTTTCAAGTTCCAGTTTTTTGCTTACCAGATTAAATTTGAGTACGTATATAAAATAATAATAATGGAAATTATTCTATATGATAAATATAAGTTCATTTGTCAATAGTTATCATATCTTCTAGATTATAGCGAACTGTTCGTCTTATTTTTTACTTTATCAGGTGAACGTTAAATAGCAGATAATTAAATACATACAAAAATATGTATTGTAAAAATCTACATTTATAACAAAATTAAAAAAACACCAAAAATAAATAAATGTAGCCTGAATATTTAAACAATATGCACGAAGCTAAGAATAATCTAGAGATTCTTTCTAACAACTACAAACACGTACAAAAAAAGTAACAACAAAGATGTAACTTACGAAAAAATATATATTTCTTTTTTTTTATTCTATATTTGAAATTGTACTTGTTCTTAGAGCTTGTTTAGCACTATTTAGTAATAATATATTAAGATCAGGTGTGGGTAGAATATTTTCATGTGCTAAAGCTATACGACGTGGAAAAAATATATAGTCAAGTGGATAATCGTATAAATTGCACACACTAGATGTATAAATGTCAGCGAAACGAGCCAAACGACGATGAAAATATGTTGGATTATGATAAGTACGAAATATACTACCAAAATGAGGATTAAATAAATCTTTTGATTTTGATCTATAATATTCAAAAAGTTAAAAGATACAATTGAAAATTTGACAAAAAATGAATTCACCTTAATTCTTGTCGTTCGATTACCCAACGTTTCATTAAAACATCAGCTTCTGGACCAGGTATAGCCTAAAGAAAAAATGAAAATACAATTAAAAATGTCATTATATATTAGCTGGACACACACAAACCTGTAATTGATCAATTAACCATTGGAGAACATTTAACCATTTGATAATTGTCTGAAATTCTTCTGAATTAACTATTTCAATTTCCTCCTAATATGGCAAGAGAAAAAGAAAAAAAAATGACTCAGGTAAAAACTATAACGTCCTGCTTATTACATACTTTCAATTCTTGCAAAATAGCTCCAGTTCTCCAACCGTGTTTCAAAAATAGATCCTTAAAATTTAAAAACAAAAACAAATATTAAAATATAAAACAAAAATGATATATCTCTTACAGCTAAATCTCCATAAATATGATCACCAATGTATAAAACATCATTTCCACTCCATGTTGTCAAATCGATAAATGAACCAAGATTACCCTACAGAAAAAAATAAAAAAAGTCAAATTTTCAAAATTTCTAATTAATTAACTCTAAAATTATTTTACCTACTTCAACATAAATATTTCCATTCTCAAACTTCGTTACACGATCCCATGATTTTGCATTATTATCCGTGTTATATTCACGAAATGGTCTACAAAGATGAAAAAATATTGATTAAATTAAATTAGTAGATAGATAAAAAATGGTTTACTTTGTTTGTGCAGCAAAAAATGTTGGTTTTTTTGCTTGACATATGATAACATTAAACAATTTTCTCCATTTATCACCAAGTAAATAATTCATACCACGTTCAACAAACCAATAACTTGAATTTGTAATCATAAATACTTGTTTATTGGCAGCACGAAAACGTTCAAGTAACTGACGTAAACGTGTATGTGGTTCAAAATATTTTTCTAGATAAATAAAATAAAGAAATGTATTTCAAAACAGACTAATAAAATATTTAAAAAAACTAACCTACTTCGTTTCCCACTAAACTATGCATTGTTCCACTTTTATGAAATTGACCAACAGAATCCTGAAAAATAAAGAGAATTCAATGTTTTGTGTATAAATAAATCACTAATACATACTCGAACATCATAATGTAAATATTCTGCGCCAAATGCAATACCACGTACAATGAAATACTAGAAAATCAAAATAATAAATACATAAGTCATCAATCAATCAATGAATAGTTAACATACTTGCATAACATCTCTTAGTAATGTTATTTCTGGTATACTAAATATATCAACATATTGATACATATTTGAACTCTAAAATAAAAGAAAAAAAACAAACATAATTTTATTGTTTAACTAAATAACATACCATTCCCAAATAGCCAATTTGATCGATGGATAATCTTGTACCTTTGTGTGCATCAATAACCTCTTTATCTGATACAGGATTTAAACCACTAAAACCATCGATCAATGGTTGGTTAATCAAACGATGACCAATGGATTGTAATTTACTTACTGATAAACTGTTCCCAGTTGTATATTGTGATAAGAGTCAATTTTCATTAACCATCCACGTGCAATATCCAAATGAAGACCACGAGCACCTAAACCGGGCATAAATTCAAGTTTTAATAAATCATCGGGATACTAAATAAACAAAATAATCTAACATTGAATATAGAGCTAGAAAATATGGAGTGTTATTTACTCTTAATCTATCGACTAGATACTTTTTAGCATGATCATAAATAAGACTGTGTAATGTTGGCTTATATCTGGCTAATGTATAATCAAAATCAAAACCGTATATCTTAATATCACTTAAATTTAATTCATTATTAGCAAACACGGCTTTTGGTGACATCAATTGTGAGTAGGCCACATCTAAATATACGACAAAAAATTTTAAACCATTCGATATTAGATTAAAAAACTTTACTAGAGTTCGATTCTGATTCATCTTTCAACAGCTCATATAATTGTTGTAAATCGTGAATTTCTCGACGAGCAAGATTACGCTTGAATATAAGAGAATGAAAACGATGTTGACCACGACATAATATACTATGTGTGATAAACTTCATCTAGAAAATATCAATCTTATCTTGAGCAAAATGTGATATACGATAGTCATTTCTCCCCTATCCCTATCTCAAATTGAATAATCGATGAAGACAATCATCTTCAGAGGAGAGTACGTAGAAAAACCATTTAGACAAAGAATAATTTCTAGTACATGTCTGCTGACTTAACCGTGCAAATTCCAGAGAAATGACCAAAAAACCTGCTCAGAATTGGTCACTCCGTAACCTTTTTATAGTAACCGAAACATATTTGAAAAAGGATACGTCAGGCGATCTGTCTATGCAAAAAAACAACAACTGGATTTTGATGAATAACTAGGGGCATTTCGCTTTAAGTAATATATGGACGTGTCACTCTCTTAAAGTATTGAGGTCAAAAATAGATAGATACACAAAACAAAAAATTAACACAATCACAGATTTGTTGACTCGTTGACCACGCGTAATAAGAAATTCTCTGCAGATACAAGCGCACCTACAGCATGTGTAGGTGCCAATGGTTTACATCGTTCAGATCATCTGTTCTATGCTATTGAATTTCTACTGAAGAAAGGAAACACGAAGAGATTCATTCGTCTAATTGCTATTAGCGCAGTGTACCCATTTGAGTCCTGAAGATTGCACTTTTCAATACAACTCTTTTTGTATTCGCATAATGATTTTCCATGCCCTACGAGGTACTTAAAACTACTTTTTTTTAATTTTAGAAACACCATCGCTTTAATGGTGACGCTCGTTTTTACGTTGACTATTTACGGGCTAACATATTAATTCATATCAACGTGAAGAAAAAATAAAATCGATAATCCACTATATTTTCTATCTTTGGCGAGACGTTTCATTTAGCATCAGCAGAAACGTTAACGCGTGCTTTTGGAAAACTAGATGCGAACATGGAAGAGGAGTAGATAAACCAATGTAGTATATTGTATAGAAAAAACAATCACAGTCAAGGTTGGTACGTCAAAAATAAACAAGCATTAGGTGAAAAGCTTTTGGATTAATGCAATCTTTTAACTTTCATATCAGTTGTTACGATTAGCTCGTGTTCTTAACACAATACATCAGATTAATCTAAAATCAATTCCTTGATCTCTATTCTCTCAGCCATAGGGCTGTCCATTAGCATCAGGCTTCTGTAACCGACCATTAGCGACCTCGTATCTCTGTTCTCTGAAATTTAGCAGTAAGATTGACTCCATTTTCTAATGCTGTAAAAGTAATTTTAATGGTCAAAAGTCTAACAAATGGCTTACTTTTCTAGTCGCTAGCATCTATCCGTTAGCAGCGTTGGCACAGCTTTAAATTAGCTATTTTAGATAAACAAAAATGGGCCTTTTCTTTTTCATCGTTATTTAACTTCACAAAGTGTATCTTTTTATCGATTGATGAACATGATTATCAAATCACTGAGGGCTTCCTATAATGGGAAATTCTGGATCACCCTCTCACGCTTGGACTCGCTTGAACACGAGTGTACGTGAACGTGTTATGCCACTCTTGTCTGCTTATAATTGAAGATCTTTTCCGTTTTTGAGATACAAATGGCCATGTTACAAGGTCATCGTTGTTTGCATTCAACCATATTTCGTTTATCACAACATATAACACAAACACGTAATCTATCGTCAAGTTCACCGCTGCAAATAGCCATAAATAAATTACTTAGTAAGTCGACAGTTTAGAGACAATTGTAAATCAAATAGAAGACAAAAGAAATAGATGGAGATTTATATTGCACTTATCAATCTTGGTCGCTAACGGACCTTTTCTTACTACTACGGGTTGCGAATGGAGAGTGTTATTGAAACTTTCAGTTACAGCGCCTCCCTTCTCTCTTTGAGTTAATATTATTCTACCATGTCCAGCGTTAATTATCCTTTCTACTTTTAATATTTTTTATATCTCCACTTGTCAAGTGCGCGCATTTAAATGAAGCATACTTGAAGTAATTATAAATCCTGCAGCATACCGTGTTTCTAAGGATTGGTGAAATAAGAGCTCTCTACCTTGAAAATCTAAATTCAACTTGGTTTTCTTCGCTTTTCAAAGTTTCGTAGTTTACATTATTTTTCTTCTCCTTCTCTATAAATGCACCTTGTGACTTATCTCTTTGAGTGTCACTAGTGCATTTATCCACATGCATTTACTCAATCATAAAGAATCGATAACATTTATTTTCATCTTATCTAATTTAGGTATTACTTTAGCAGGTGTACATACTGGAAAAACAGTCACGTCATTATAGTTGATGTTGACCATCACTTGAATACTACTCATACCCACATTTTTATGATTTCTTTACATTATATATGGTGTTTCCTTCTTCTACACGATGTTCTTATTAAATCTGCATAGTAAAGATGTGCAGATCTCTACTAGACTACAAAATGATATACATTATTCCAGAAAAAAGGTCCCAGACTATATCTGTCAGATGTGAAATATACTTATAATATTTCCACATACTATTAGAGGGTATTATTCTTACTCGACATGCTGATAGGATAAATTTTTTCTGATTTCTATCTCAGAGTTTGATCGCGCTGTTACACTTATTGGTCCATCTTTCTCATGAAGGTTTAGTATGAAAAACAAAAAAGGAAAATATCAGGCACCATGTAAAGGAATAGAAAAAACTATGACGGAACACTTGTTGAAAATGAATACCAGCTATGGGACCATTTATCTGTCGGGACATCTAGAGAAATATAATATCCTAACTGACTATTTGCATACTGACTTGCTAGTATGTAATACAATAACGTAAAATAGTAATCAGCAAGAGTAGATTAACGAGTAGATTAGAAAGATCATAAAGAGTAGATTAGAGGAATCTAGTTGAGCGCGTAGACGGAAAAATAGCGTTGGGAATGTCTGGCTTTGTTTCATTTATATTTGAAGAATTGAAACTAATTCTCTCAGTTCACAGAGCTGCTAAATGTACGTCTAACTTATGGATGAAACTATAGGATATAAATTGTCCTCCAGACACTATTCATTGAAAATTTGTAAAGAATCCATTTGACAGACTTTGTGTTCTGAAGAAAAGTGTAAAATTTCACTGAGATTTGAAATTTTATTAGAAACACTAATTATATGAAGTTAAAAAACTCCTCGATCAATCTTGTAACATAAAAATGTTTCTTCGCAATTTTCTTTTTTTTTATGAGTGTTTTTACCAAGAATGTTTTGTAATGTTTGACGATGATTTTGTTTCTTTTTAGTTCATCGACATCCACTACATTGTCCAAAATCATCTTCCCTTAAGTTTCCTCCATCTTACATTATTTATCGATATGAATCATCCTCGAAGCAGGAAAAAGAACAACATGAAAAAAATCAGAAAGCACATGAAAGTGGCTCTTCACCTCCGTCATCAGATGAACAGCAAAAGAAGAGCAATGCAACAAATTTAATTTATTTAGCCGGTGCTATAACCGGTATTGGAGCACTTTATTCCTTGGCAAGTTACTCCTTTTTCATTTATAAAGATTAATGTCTTTAGGTTTCTACATTCCATCCCCTGTCTTGTACAACGGGCTTTTTGCTAGCTGAAATAAAGCAGAGCCCTATCAACTATTTAATAACTAGTGGAAATCTAGATTAAGGAAACTTTTCAGCAATAAATGTGGCACAATAACGTAAAACTTGTATTATAGAAAGAAAAAGGTAGCGAATAAAGAAAACTCGTTTGGAAATTACTGATTGTCACTATCATATGTGTAAAATAAACATTTTTTTGTTACTTTGTATTTCTGTTTTATTGTATAATTTCTTTTTCGGTTTAGTTCAGAAGTAGAAAGACGACGGATGAGAAACCCGGTGATCTACAAGAAGATAAAGGGCTCGATGCAAATGTAAAATCGGCACTTGAAAAAACGACTGATTCAGATAAGGAAAAAGTATCGAAATCCCTATTAGAAAAAGTTCATACGGTAACACAACGACATGATCAAGGTTCGTTTATTTGTAGGTTTACCTGTTTCTTTTTGCAAATCTTCTGTTTCGTTAAACTTTAGCTGATCAACAGGATGATTCGAAAATTTCAATAGAAAATCTAACACCTGATATTCCAAATTTTGCCCAGTATTTAATTATTGGTGGTGGCACAGCCGCAATGTCAGCATTTAAATCAATTCGAGCTCATGATGCAACAGCAAAAGTAAGCATTAAAGAAATTAATCATTTAAACAATGTATTCACATGACAATTCACTATTATAAACAAATGCACTAGCAACTGTTTTTTTTATACAATTTTATAATCTTTTACGTTGAAAGAAAAAAATAGATGAAGCACTCTTTAATTGACTTTATTCTTTTTGATATTAGCTTTTATTATAGGTACTAGTACTAGCAAGTGAAAATCATATGCCCTACATGAGACCACCATTATCCAAAGAAATGTGGTATTCAGATGATGAAGAACTTACACAAAAACATTCGTTTAAACTATGGAATGGACAAGAAAAAAGGTTCATAGCCGAACTCTATTAGTATTAGACCACTTTATAATCTTTATATTTTGTTTAGTATTTATTTTCTTGATGATGAATTTTATACAGATGCGAAAACATTACATAAACAAGAAAATGGAGGGGTGGCTGTTGTAACGGGCAGAAAAGTAAGTTTATAAAATGATGAGTAATTAAACTTGAGTCGAACGTCTCTAAATTTTTATTTGATTTTTAAAATAAATATTCACTGTTAGTAAAAAATAGATCTCCAGTCTCGAATCAAAGATTGAAGTTTGGACGGTACTTGATGAGAATTTTCAAGATCTTTTTTCTACTAACTGTAAGTTAACCATTATAAAATCAACAATGTTTGTGTGTCTGTTACAAGATGACGGATGCGAAGAAAGAAAAGAATTCTTTCATGAAGAAAACACTCTCGTCTAGATTACAGTCTAGGACAATACAGGAAGGAGTTTATACTTAATCCAGGAGATTTTGATTTCTAGGATCTTCAGGAACTTCTGAGAATGATCTATTAGTGACAGTTGAGAAATTCAACGAATGCTAGTTTTATTAATGGCGTATGCTTAAGGGGACATGCTCCCCCCTCTTTTTTAAAAAAATTTCAGATTTTGAGCTGAGCATAGCCTAATGTAGAGGAAAGTGTGAGCTACAAAATGAGACCACTCCCAGCACTCCATGACCTTTCTTCAAATAGTTATGGATTTTTGAAGTTTTTCCTTCAAAGCCTAAAAATGTTCAATTTTTGGGTTTCATAAACTTTTCTCTCCTTTTCTGTACATGCAAAATTATTCTTACACACAGTCCAATAGAAGAAAATATTTTCTTCACAATGAGAACTTTTACAGACTTTTCCGCTGACTTTTCGTGGAAATATAAGCATCGCGGTAAATGCCCTGAAAAAAGCGACCTGTGTATACAATGCGTTTTTTCTCGAAAACTAGTTTTTTGCTACCCGGTTTCATTGGAACACATTACGAGCCCCCTTAAATTTCATCCGATCGAGTTAAAAGTTTTACCATGGGTACTCAAGAGCAGAGGTATAATTTTGGAATTTTCTTTTCTATCTTTACTTTACCGAGTTCTAGGGTTTCTAAAATTTAAAAACTTGGTTTTTGAAGGTCTTTCAGTATTTTCCCTATAACTCGGTAAAGAAAGGTCTTGAAAACTTTCCCCAAAATCCCTCTGCGCTATGAGTACCTCTTTTAAAATTTTTAACTCGATCGGATAAAATTTAAGAGAGGGTCGTAATATGGTACAATAAAAAACCGAGTTTTCTGGAAAACTTGTGAACAACAATAGTTAAAAATCTGAAACAAAAACGAAAAAGTGCTCCATTGAGTTTCTAATCAGTTCTGAAAATATGAAGCCTTAGTGAGTTTTAGTTTTTATTTCACAGCATTTCTACGAAAAGCCCAAAAATGAGGGACGGGTACCCTTAATTTGAGACGATGTCAATGGCTGTCAAAGATTTATCTTCTCATTTGTTTCTTTTCTGTTGTCATTTTAGGTTGTTGAATTGGATTTAAGAAACAGTGTAGCCAAATTAGATAATGGATGGGCAATAACATTTGAAAAATGTTTAATAGCCACTGGTGGAGAACCAAAAAATATGAAAATATTTCAACGACTGTCTGGAGTATTACAAAAAAAAATTACATTATACAGAGGTGTAAGTTACTCCATTCTCTATTACTCGTATGTATTGAGCGATGATCCAGTAAGGGAAAGAGTATAATTTAAACTCAATTTATTTTAATTTTTGAGTTACTGAACATCTTATGCCTGTCCTTATGTACGTACAAAAGAACGCGATTTTGAATATTAAAACGCGAAAATTTTGATAAACTGACTAACATGACTGTAGAAAGTGTTTAGTATATCAATAAGTATGATGATTACCTCTTCGTCAGACAGAAAATGTCAGCAATTTCTTTAAAACTGTTTGTAGAATAGTTGACTATACTCAGTTAATACTTGTAATGTATATTTCTCTTCTCATTCGCTATCAGTAATTCGTTATTTGTTGTCTATTAGTCGAAAAGTCTTTTTTTTTTGAAAGTTTATTTTTTGTTTATATGCATATAGACAGTCTTGAGTAGCAATATGTAATACGTTTGCTACGAGATGCAATTCGTAAAAATACAATTTATATATATATATATATATATTAATTAAACATTTAATGGTTTCTTGTTTACACGCATGTGACCATAAGTTGAATTTATGATGTCCATATACACACATATATACAACTATTGCTTGTAGAGGTAAAAATGAAAATATGTATGTTATGCCCTGATGATTATTATTTTATTTCAAATACCTACACAAACTAGAACGAAACCTATATATTCAAGAGAAGCAAAAAAGAAGATTTGGACACTGAATATGAGAAAGAACGAAAGAAAATACTTAGTGATAGTAGTAAAACATGTGTGTAAGTAGAAGAGAAAAGACGTAGAACAATAAAAAAATATGAAGTTAATAATTTTTCTTATTCTTTTCTGTTTGTTTATGACCTTGTTTTCTATGAGAGAAGAGAATAAAAAAATAAAAGCATAACCCCTTGTTTTGAATATAACCTTACATACACACGTTTGTTGACTAATTGAGTCATTAGTTCACAAACTGGTTTCTCTTTTCTATTCGTTATATGAATAAATATACATATCGACGCGAAAAAATACATATACATATATGCTTGATATGCTTAATGATTCAACGTTAAGTCAATTATTATATCATATTGAACGTATACTCGATACTAATGGTTGTCCAAAACATTCAAAATTGTTTCTAAATGATCTAGTAAAACCAATGTATACATCTTATCAACAAGAATATGATGATAAATCGATAACATCACCATCGAGTACAACAACAACAACAACAGCAATATTTACTAATATGAATTTAGAATTAGATGAATCAACATTTGATATTGCCGATGGTATTGCCAGTTATTTAACTGATAATACTCAAACATCATTAACACAAAATCATTTATATAGACAAAATTCAAATTCGAGTCATAGTTCAAATTCAACAATTGTTAATCATAATAATCATCATTCATCAACATCATTTACACAACATTTTCAATTTATTTTAAATGCTGGTACATCAGCTTCAGCTCGAATTACAGAAGAAACAATTACATATTTAAATCAGGGACAACCATATGAAATCAAATTTCATGTCAATAATAATCAAAAACAAAAATGTAAGAATTAGAAGAAAAATAAAAATAAAATAATCATCACTATTTGAGTATAATTCTAAATATTAACTATTATTTTAAAAAAGTAAAAAAAGTCTTTTTTTCTCATTATTTCTAGTAACATCGATAAATGTCACAAATACTCAACCAACAACTTATCGAAGTATTATACGTCTCTGTTTTTGGGATAAATATTTTCAATTGAACGAAATTGAACATATTAAAAAATGGTTACGTGAATATAATTCAACAAGTTTATTCGATATTGATATGAATTTAACATATGGTATATTGAATTTAATTAAATCTCATTCAATACAAAATGCTCTAGAAATTGTCTGGGATAATTTACAACAAACATCATTATTTATTCGTTTTAAATGTACATCCACCGATTTTACATCAAAACGACATGGTGGTGAAAAAGGTATACCATTACGATTACAAATTGATACCTATGAAACTATTGAAGAACAAAATACAAATGATAATAGTATTAGTGAACGTCCAAAACATGTACACTCATGTTGTTGTAAACTTCAATTATTTCGTTTAAAAGGTGCACAACGTAAAAATAAATCAGATAAAATTAAAATTGAAAAATTAAATATTGAACAACGTCGACGTTATCATACTGCTCTAGACTATACAATTATACAACAATGTCCAGTATCTTCTCTTTATACTCTTGATTTACTATCACACTCTCATTCACCAAATGATTTAGGTATTTATTCACAAACTATTGAACAACAACAACAACAACAAAATAATTCAATAATAACAGAACAAACGATAGATCAAACAAAGAAAGATGTAACGAATAATAGTGAAAATGATGATCTAACCAATGTTGTTCTCAAACGACATACATCTGATTCATCAATCGAACAAACATTAACATTAGACAATTTTACTACTACTACATATAATTGTAGTCCATCTACATCATCATCATCACCTTTAATAATGTCAGCATCTTTACCAAATATGAAACAATTATATTGTTCATCACCCGTTCAATCTCAACAATTATATTGTCCATCATCCGTTCAATCTCAACAAACTATTCAAATAATTACAACATATTCAACAAGTGATGATGTTCAAAAATGGTTAGAATTAAATAATTTTCATACAATAACATCTTTATTTCAATATTATACAGGTTTAGATTTATTACGATTAAATATTAATGATATTTTAAAAATTTGTGGTGATTGTATCGGTTTAAGATTATATAATCAATTAAAACAAACTATTATTCAACCAATGAAAACTTTCTATATTAGACAGATAAATGAAGATTATTATCATTGTATTTATTTACATACATTAACTCGAAAAGAATTATTACAAAAAATAATTGAACAATTTCGAATAAATAAAATTTCTTCTATTTATTACTGTCAACTTTATATTGAACAACAACAACAAAAATTAAAAATAAAACTTGATGATGATGTAATTAAATATTCGATTAATAATCAAATGAGATTTGTGTTACGTTCAAATCAAAATGAACAAAATTTTATACATGAAATTGTACTCGTTGTTATTAACTAAACAATATAGACATGTTTTATGCACGTTATTTAACTAGTCAACGCAATCTTTTTAACCAGATATACATCATAATGGAAGAGAAAAGAAAAAATTTGCCTGATCCTTATACAAAATTTATATATCAAAAAAAAGAAAAAATAACCCTGTTATTTTATATCCTTCAGTGGTTGACACCTCTGTTATCTATTTTCAATCGTTCTTGTACTAACAGTAGTTGTAATGATTCTAATTTTCTTCTAATGACACATTTTCAACATTTTAACTGGTAGCTATTGATACACTACTCCTCTCAAATGTTTTGTGTGTATGTAAGAATTTGACCTTGATTATAATTGATCAGACAAGAAGAACGGCATAATACGAGTTTTACTTAACGTTCAATGTAATTTGTACTTATTTTTAACAACAAGCTTATGCTTTTATAAAGCCTTTTCAAAAATTGTTTATCATATTATTTTTGTAAAAAGGATCAAACAGTAGATGAATTTTGTATGTGATAGACCTGTTCGAGTAAAATTGTTTAAAAATTCAAAATTTCTTTATGTAATTCAGTTAATACTGTTTGAGTATATAAAGTATTAGTAATAAAAGTAGGATTTAACATTTGTTGAAAAAAATGATAATTTTGAAGATTATTGCTTATAAATTCTTTTATCTGTTTTTTTGGTTCATTTAGATTGACGATTTTTTTTCACTGAAAAATGTAATTGATGATGGTTCGGATGTGGCAATTATCGGTGGAGGTTTTCTTGGCTCAGAATTAGCGTGTGCTCTTGCTCATAGAGCAAATAAAAAAAAAGACTCAGCCAAAGTTGCAAAAGTAATACAATTAATACCAGAAGCTGGTAGGTAACTAAGTAATAGAAAACTTCAGTAATCAATAAATAAATATAACTATCAATATTCTGTTTTTAGGTAATATCGGCAAAGTATTACCGGAATATTTAAGTAAATGGACAACAGAACGTGTGAGAGAAGGTTCGTCAAATATTGACATGACAGACTATTGTCGATAAAACAAAACAGTATCCGTATTCATTTGTTGAATAACTTTTGATTAACGATAGTTTGAGAGTTGTGCTTCGCTTCTATTCAAAAGTCAAAACCTTAGTGCATCTTTCCATGAGAGTAAATAGTTTGAAAAAATCTTTTTTGAAAATAGAATCAGGAATCTATGGAAAACTATTTTTGATCTTCAAAAACTAAGATAGAAATACCTCTTGACTTTTTCCCGTTTGAACGTGTTATCGGATTCCCTAAATGCCATCATTAGTGCGAACTCTACAAAATGAATGGTTCATCGACTTTTTTGAGTTTTGTATAGGGATGTTCGGTTCTCGGTTTCAGTTCTCGAGTTAGAACTGAAACGAAAGAAACACGGTTCCGATTCCGAACTTAGAACAGAACTGCGGTTCTCAGCTTAGAACCGGAAAATAATTTTTCAGGCAGTAAAAATTCAACGAAATAAAATTCATTTTATAGTAAACGAAAGCATTCTTTTAAATGATGACAGAAAAATATATTTTTTTGTAGCTTTGTCAATGGTGTGTTTTCATTTAGTTAAAAGAAAGGCAAGTCAAAGGTTTCGGTTCCGAAAAAAAGAAACCATCTAAGAAACTGCGGTTCCGATTCCCGACAAAGAACCGAAAATAAGAGAACCACGATTCCGATTCCTCATGCGGAACCGAGAACCGAACATCCCTAGTCTTGTAGTAAATTTTCAGAAGAAAATTTGAAAAACCTATAGTAGATGAAATAAATAATTAATTTTAAGCTATTTTCATATAAAACTGAAAAATTCGTGACTCTCTGAAAATTAAGTTCAAAATATACTCAATTTTAGTTATTTTACATGGTGATTAATCTGAAAGTATGGTAAATCCAAAGAAAACGCCTTAGGTTTTTTTTTCTAAAAAATTTCGGAAATGCATACAGATTCTTTTCAAATTTTTGTATACGAGATCCATTATACATTTTCACCGGGAGTGAGAAGTATAATTCTCTACCTATCGTTAATTAAAAGTTGATAAAAAAATGGTCGCCATATTCTCATACCGATAATAGAGATATCATTGATTGCAATCTTTATAGTGATAAAAAACTCATGATTATTGTCTTGTCTTGTTTAGAAGGTGCAGAAGTAATAACAGAAATTGAAGTAACTGGTGCACAAATGCAAAAAAATAAAATAAATATCCAATATCTCGATAGTAGTGAACCGAAAAAGACAAATAATGTAATTGTTTGTGAAGGCTTCGTTGTATAATTTTCTTTTCTAATGCTTTTTATGCATTTCTCTTAAAGATAAGTGTCGATCATATTGTTGTTGCTGTTGGTATTGATCCGAATACTGAATTAGCTGCATCGGGTGGTTTAGAAGTACATCCTGAGTTGGGCGGTTATGTTGTTAATGCTGAATTACAAGCACGACATAATATTTGGGTAGCCGGCGATTGTGCATGTTTTTATGATATTATATTGGGTCGACGACGAGTTGAACATTATGATCATGCGGTTGTCAGTGGAAAATTGGCAGGAGAAAATATGACAGGAGCTAATAAACCATATTGGCATCAATCATGGTTCTGGTAAAATAGTTAGATTTTGTTTTTAAGCTAATATAAATTAGTCTATTTTTATTTACCTATTTTAAAGGTCTGAGTTGGGTCCACGAATTAGTTTTGAAGCCATTGGTTTAACTGATTCATCATTACAAACAGCAGCTGTTTATGCCAAAGGTGGAGCAGATGAAGCACAAAAAGAAGATGAAATGGGAAATCGAGAACAAGCATCAAATCAGGTACGAATTATAGTGTTTTGTAGACAAATTTTATATAATTAGGTGTCGGTTTACATTCAAGACTGAAAATAAAGCGGATAGTTTTCAAGATATAGTGAAAGCAAATGAAAAGAAAACCTATGGTGATGATTACGGAAAAGGTGTGGTATTTTATCTGAAAGAAGGACGAGTAGTAGGCATTGTACTATGGAATGTACATGATAGAATACCAATTGCTAGAAAGGTAATTTCACTCAGAAAAGACGTAAAGGATATATTCTCTAGTCATGTATATATATTTTTTTAAGATAATTAAAGATCAATTACGTGTGACCGATTATCAAGAATTGGCTAAATTACTTAATATTCATCAGGAATAGACAATTGTTCAATTTTTTTGTTACCTAAATTTTTTCTTTTGCTTTAGCGATTAGGTAATCTAGTTATCTTTCTCTCTTTTTTCAAAACATAATGTTGCTATTATTTGTTATTCCATATTAAGTTTATTCTGTTTGCTCTTTCACAGTGTGCGTGTGTGTATAATGAGCTTTTTTTCTCTTTTCAGGTCACTATAAACTAGCTCTTCTTCTTCTGCCTTTAAACTATAATGTGATGTATGCTTTAACTAAATTTAGAAACATTAAAATAAATCCACAGTAGTTGGTGATAAACAACGAAATGAATGTTCTACAACACCTTAAAATAGAAATCCAGCTTGAGTTTCTCTCTTCACCATAACATATCGTATATGACTAAGAGAAACGATGTGTATATTTCACGGTGCATATATTTTATCATGCTATTCTTTTAGTATTCATTTTTGAACAATTGTTAACATTGTTCAATCAACTTTTTATCATAATGAATTGTGTTTACGTACAGTCAACATTGAAATTGTGCCAGTTTTTTATTATCGAATAAGAAACAGTAAAATACGCTTCAGAATGCTGGTCCATTTTTCCTTATATACATCACTAATACAAGTATTTGTAAAACGTTCTATTTATGAGAACTAACATTACGTTGTAAAAATAACACGTTGATTGTTTATGGATTATTCTATGTAGTGTCGTCAAATATTTGATGATGAGAAAAAAAAGATACTGTCCATAGCTAATAACAAATGTTGAACGAAGAAGAGAAAGAATACATCAACTAATTTCTTCTTATTCTATAGGGTAAACATTGAGTTTTTTTCTTCTCTACCACGTTGAACCATAACATATGACATATTTAAGTAATCGT